TTGAGGAGCCATTGCCAGAAGACGAACAGGTTCAGCCTCCTACAGAGGATGCTCAAGGTGCTGAGGCAAATGGGGCTGCAAATGAAGTAGAGGACAAGGAGATTAGCACTGAAGCTGTATAAGGGTAATCTGATACTGCACTAGGATAATGATTCTTCCTCTCAATATTAGTATTCTGCCGTTGAGAATTATAGCTCTTAGATAGTGTGACGGTACTTTACGCCCTTAACTATTTTCAGTTTTGCTATTCTAACACAATGATTGTTCTTGGATAATGTTGTCTCTTTTTTAGAAGGTGAGGAAAAAGTTTATCCATACATATAGCTCAAAGTGGATTTTATCTTCACTCAATTGTCGCCTAAGAACCATTTGTTGTGCTAATAGCTGATCTGCTTTGAAACTTTGATGTTTGCCTTTTCCTTTAAATGAATTAGCCATGATGTGGCTATGAGAACCGCTTTTCATTTATAACTTTTAAGCCACATAGTTGCCTTTGATGGTATGTGAACAGATGCTATTACCTATTTATTAGTATCTTAAGGATATATTCATTCTCCACTTTCCTCCGAGAGGATGGAGTCTCTTAAAAGGAGAAAACTGAATCATAAATTTAGGGTAATAGAAGACACAATAAAATCTGGAACGATGAGAAAAATGAAAGTGAATTGAAACACCTTGGTGTCAAGGACACTGTAGGGGTGGGTCCTTATCGGGAAAAGGACACCTTATGTCAAGGAGTCTTGCTTGCTTTCAACTACTTCACTCCCTATATAAGATAAAAAGTAAATCCTTAGTTACAGGACTTGACAAGAAATTGCCTTATAAAGATTTTACAAGACAAACCTATTTGCAATAAGATGGACTTAATACCGACATTGAGGGACTCTTAGCTATTTGTAGAGCATTGTGGCTGAGTGGAATTTCTCGTAAGTCGGTTGCAGTGGCCCTTGTAGGGATAGCAGCTTGGTTGTGGTCTTGCGTTCCGGGGCTGTGTGCTGCATCTGTTTGAACCAATGTACTGCCTGTTGGCTGGATGCAGTGGAAACTTGATGTGCCTGGGTGTTGTGGGTCAGAAGACAAATAGTTGTATAAATAGTTGTAGATGCGCTTGTCAGTTAGCATGACCAAGGTTAGGAGGTTGTACATGACAGAGGGTGCTTATACGCTTCTTTTAGTCTGCGGCGAGTTTCGACAAATGATTCATGGGATAAATATAAAATGCAGCCCACGAGTTTTATTATGCATGGATTTTTGCAGTACCTATAAAGCTGTACTGTGGTTGTTTGCCTTCATGCATATGCTTTATATTTGGGCCCAACTAGGAGAGTATAGACAGAAAAGAATGTACTCCAACATATGCTAAAAGAGTAGCTAAATTTAAAGCTGATAATCAATGCCCTTCTTGAGGCTAGTTATGGATTTCTTGGATCTGCTTTTGGTAACCTCTTCGTGTAGAAGTCTTGTGGATCACTTCATCTATACTTACCCCCTTTCCCCTCCTTACCCTCAGGTTTGGTGGAATTTGTTTCTGAAAGTTGTTATTGCTTGAGCCAAGAGGCTACAAGGTCTGTACTGTTGTTTGCCTGTGGCTTTGGGGAAAACTTGGGGTGGTTTTGGTTTTGTATAGTTATCAAACTGCACGCAGTTCCCGGGTTTCTGGTTTTCGTGTCCGGTTTGAATAATGAGTTATGAGTTGTTGCAATTTACGGGTGTATGTATCTTATTATTGTTGGTGTTTTAACTGTATGAATTCTCACTTTGACTCAACCATTCTTTCGAGGGTAAATTCTTTTTGCTACAATGTAATTTTGAATTTCTATAGAGTGTAGTGTTGTCAAAGACACGCTTAAGCCCTAAAGCGAGGCTCAAAACATGTTGAGTGCTACGCCTCACTTTGGAGGCGCTTCAGTGTCGCATCAAGGCTCTAAGGCATACTTTTCCTTGCCAAAGAGTGTAATGAGTGTGATCCTGAAAAGGCGACACTAAACAATTGATATATATATATAGTCCAGTTGAGCCTTTTTTCCATTAAAGCCCGCGTTTTATTTGTGCTTCACGTTTAAAGCCCCAACCAATTTTAGAGTTCGTTTGCACTTTTCGCCTTTGATAACACTGATAGAGTAATCTATTGAGTGACATTTCTTAAGTATAAAGTAATGTGCTACTCTATTATATTCAACATAAAGAAATTTCATAGAAATACTGTCAATTTTGTTGCCCTGATGACTTGTTACTATGTTCCAGTATGAATATGCTGATTGTTTTTCTTGCCATCCAGGTTGTCCGGAATAAAGTCATACTGGTTGAAACCTCTTTGAGATCTTGAGCTTTCTCTTATTTATCAACAGCTTTATGAGGTGACTGTGCTCTTGTGTCTTTCCAAACAGATTAGAAACAAGGCATCTTGTCAAGAGCTTTTTACCATCTTAACGAACTTGTTCGGCTTCCTTTCTCCCACCTACTGTACTGGTTTTGATGATTATGGACCTTTGTCAAGGCTAATTTTGTGATAGGTTTCTCTTTTAGTTGGATGCTTTTATGAAACGACTTTTCATTATATCTGGTGCTGTGGTGTAGGACATCATTGACTTTTTAGCCCCAGGGTTTTGTCTGATAAGAGCGCGACGCATGATGTACGAGTTAGAAACAGATTGTTTCCTTGCCCCAAACAAAAGCCTAATCTTTTGACAAGGGTAAAGGGGCGGACTTATCACTGATTTGAATTGTGTCATGGTGATATCTCGATCATGAAAAAGAGATTATTGACCTTTTAAAGGAATTGCTCTAGTAGATTTTTGTGTTTTGTCATATGGTGACAAGTTGAACAGAGAGTTCGAGACCGGTATCTTAGCATTAAAGCACCCGTCCAAAAATGAAACATATTCAGAATTCCAAGTCCAGACTCTGAGACTCTGTTTGTTTAAGGGAAAACTAGGAAAATGTTGCTTTGTTACTGCATCATAATATTTATTCATAAAACATGTTTATTTTGGGCTTTGAGTCATCCTGATTTTTGGCATTTCGTTCCTAGCTCTTGGCTGAAGCAGGTGAAATACCAACGAGGCTTCCCTTTGATCTTAATTGTGTCAAACGTCTTTACCCATCTCATCTTAATCTCAATGAATCAGATGAGGTCTTGTGCACTCTTTGCTTGATAAGCTCCCCATATTTACAGTATATGCAAATTCAGGTAAGCGTTTCACTCGTTTCTTTTTTTTATTTATTATTTAGTGGCTTTTTTATACGTTAGATCCTCAATAGTTCTGAGATATGGTTATTTTGTTCATCGTTTTAGGTGGATAATTCTGATGATGATGACGATGATGAAGAATTTTATGTCCTAGATGAAGTGAAACGTTTCTTAGATGTGACATTTAATCACCTCAGGGAAGTTAAATTAGTGAACATTACAGGGACAAGGCCTCAAATGAAGCTTATCGAGCTTCTATTAGCCAAGTCTCCGGCGCTAGAGAGATTTCTAATTGAACCTAGGCCAGGAAATGAACCTCTTGATATAGTAGTTGAAATACTCGCTGAGCTAACAAAATTTCAGCGTGCATCACCGAAAGCAAAAGTTGTCTATGACTATGATAAGAATCGATGGTACAGTCGTTAATCAGATCATGATCTTTGGGTATGTTTTGGATGTTGAAGTGAATGGATAGAAACAAATGTCGACGCAGTAATATAAGGCTGGGGTTTGCCTCAAAGTGGCTGTTTTGGCTACTCTGTTTCGTGATAACTATGTCATTTACAATGCTAAGCGTTTTCACATTTCATGAGTGATCTAGCTATGAGATGAGACTTTGGTTGTTCAGTTATGTTTTGGTTTGCAGTGTGTTAATTTACAGATTTCTTTCTTTGCAGTTTTCTGGTTTCACATAGTGTTTCTATTTGTGGTCTAACTATGAAAAAATTATGTTGTCACCATATGTATTTGGCTAGTTTTATTTGTGGTTAAGAAGCTTAAAGTGCTATGTTGATTTCTGATGAAAACTCATTATAGTATTATATAGATTAATGTATATTCTAATAATTTTTGAAAATTTCTAACAGTAGATATTTACTTGTTTGGATGAATGAAAAGTGTCATTTTATGTAACGACCAATTTGGTGTGCTTGCGTCATTACCTTGTCTTTTTCTCTCACCTTGCCCTTTGTTATTATTAACTAATTTTGTACCCTACCTTTTTATATAATAACTACTAGTATACGTACCGTGCGGATTGTTTTAACTGAAAAAAATAATATAGTAGAAACATGTCTATATTGCAGATTAGATTTAGTGATCATACTGGAAAGAATTAAATCAAAAATAAATATATGAATTTCATAGGATTGTATCTATGCCAGGCACCACCAATATTTATGCACTCATGCAAAGATCAAGGATAAAACGTGTCTTAAATTCAAATAAAATCAATATAGATAATCAAGAAAAAAGCAGTTACATTTCCCTTTGGAATGATGGATGTTTATTTTCTTCACAAAATAAGGACAGTAAAAACTTCTTCGTCAACTTATTCAATACCCGTTCCCATCGTCCGAAGCATAATCAATCACCGCTTTTGCTCCTGCTGGAAAGATCCAATATTCCCATTAACTTCTGCATAAAATGATGTATCTCGTATATGGTGTCATATTTGTGCAGCTCCCAAGCAAGCAACTATTGCCTTTTGCTTCAATGTTTCTGCTATTTTCCCTGCATATTCCATTGCATCTTTCCCTGTTTTTTCAGTAACATTATTAACATTAGCAGTTTCTTCCCCAACATAGTTTGCTGCACTCTTGCTATGTTTTTGAACACTTTATTTTGCAATTGAATCTATCTCCTTAGGGGAAGGAGTTATTGTTTCACCAGTTGTACTGATTTTTTTCTTAACTTCTCATGTTCTGGGGCAACAAAAAACGAAAGGGAAAAAGATAATGTCTGCTGTGTCGAGAGAAAAAATAATTATTTGAAGTTTGAACAAAAATATACCTCTTATATAAAATTGATTAAAAATATGCCAGAAGGAATAATGGTATCTTATACCAGTACTTAATTGTCCTTGAACACAAGATGCTTGAACTCAGCTTTTATTGCTTGCTTCAGTTTGTCAATCCATCTCGCATCAAAGTAATCAAAGACCCAATTACTATCTCAAGCACATATTTCGAACCACTTGGTTTCCTTCGCAACACAATATCAAACAAAATTAAGCTTCACATTGGAGCTATAATTGTTTGTATGCTTTCTCTATATACAAAATTATTGATTGGATTTATCGACTGCACAAGAAAATAAATTAAAAAACTCAAAGTGGCTACTGGCAATTGATTCCACATGCTTGAAAGCCACAAAAATTCAACTTCCTGTCAATATATTCACACATCACAGTTGGTACGAATTTTATTTTCTGTTAATAGCAACACTTGAAGAATAATGCATTATTATTTTGAATGAAAAACCTGGCAGCAAAAGAAAAGAAAAATTAACCTCAAAACGTTCAATTTTTTAAGCGAGAAACACTTGAAATAGCACACATTATTTGTTCAGCGGCTTTCTACTTCCTTTTACAAAAATCAGTCCAATATACCCGATAAAAAAATTAAAGATATACCCAATAAGTAATCCTACAAATCCATTTAGGACTTAAAGTATGCTTCTACATTAAATTGACCAACTGACTTGAATTATCATCATTAGAGTTTTCAAATTCCTCAATTATAAGGTTTAAAATGGATAAGAACCACTTTTTCCAACAACATTAGAAGATGAATCTTCACTAAATAATCAAAGAATTACAATTGTCTTCCCAATCGTTTATTCTGTTATGACATCGACAAATGATGAAAGAACAATATTCATATCACAATTCATTGTTAATGGGAGAGAAGGCTCTTGTAATGATTTAGCTTAAAAAGTGAATATCTATACGAAGTGACCTTAGCTTGATATTTAAGAAACAAATTATCCAACAAAGAATGGTAAAGATAAATACTAAAACCCATTATTTTCATCAAACAGTAAGACCCATTAAATTGCTTAAGTAAAGTAAATAAAGGGGCCTAATGATTTTCAGCAAGGTACAATGACAGAGTCCCCCCCCCCCCCCCTCCCTTTTGGGGTTTATTGGGTGAAGAGTATTGGGGGACAGAGTCAGAAATAAGAAAAGGTAACCAATGAACTTGCTAGAGTTGTATTCATAGAAGGTATTGCTTTCCTCCAGACATAAGTGCCTCACTCATTTTTCCAGTAAAATATTCAAATTAATATATTATGTAACACGAGAACTTACCTCATGGAGATTCACAGAAAAGTTACTTTTCATAGGAAGTCATAATCTAGACTCGCATGTGGACTTTGTTAAGAGGAGAGGGAGGGTGGGAAGAATCAAATTTATCATCATTTCAGTCAAGTACTTTACATGTTGCGAATGTTTTTCAAATAAACTTTAGTCATATGCCATCAGAATTCCCAAAAATATGGACTAATACATTCGTATTTTTCAGTCTCCAGAGTTACCCACCAAGAAACAGAAATACATGTTTGCATGATTGTCATAAGCAACATAGTAGAATGTGCACTTAGTTTAATACTTACAGCTTGCAAACGCATTCGAGATGTTGTGGTGTTATGATAGCACCCAATCGAGTTTATAAAGTAGCAAATAGTCGACTTGCATCAAAATGCATGATTGCTTGTACCTGAAAATATGCCATTGGCCACATAAGGAACCAAAATAATCTATTGTCGATATTAATTTGTTGTAGTTCCTATATATCTATATTATATTAAAAGCATGAACCCCTAAATTAAAAAGTTAAATTACCTTTTTACCCCTAAATCTAATTATCCTTCTTACTATAAGTTTAAAAATCTATATTATATTAAAAGCATGATGTCATTTGGAAGACACCACAAAAATAAGTACAACAACAGTAAATAGGACTTCATTCTCATTGATATTAATCTGAAAGAAATATGTCTGCGAATGGAATATGTGTGACTATTTAATGAAGGAGTATGAAGTGCTGGTTGAGGTTAGTTGTAGCCGTTAGTGTTTTCTCATTAGTACGGTGCCTCACTTGGATTTAGATTGGCTTTCATTACGTGCAAATTTGTCTTAAATGTTAGGTGTATTAGACTCAGTTCACAAATCAAAAGGATGCAACTATTAAGAAAAGACACTTTTTTGTTTCTTTCTCTTTTTTATTTATTTTTAAGTAAGTTATTTAGATTATTTAATAGGATATTCTGTAATTCGGCGTAGAGAGTTTTCTGCCAAAAGTGCATGTGAAGGTAGTTCCTATATATATATCAATCCTATATNTATATATATATATATATATATATATATATATATATATATATCAATCCTATTAAGGTACCTTTTCAGTGGGCACATCATCGTGTAACTTTGTTAAATTATATGTCAATAACTTATTGAAAATGATCACCACTAAGAATCTATGGCTTCCATTTCCAATTAAACATCTCATCATGAACTTATAATAAGAAAAAGTGATGAACATTCGACATTACAATGGTTTTTATACTTTAGCAAAGGAGGTGTCTGAAAACCACTTAAGTACTTAAAAGTTAAAATTTAATACCTTCAGAGCTGATTAAAAGTGTTATAATATTTTTGTGAGAATAATTTGAGTTAATACAAAAAAAATTGATAATTTCCAATCAACGGTACAAATAAATTTTAAATTGCTTTGTAAAAGCTCAAACCTATTCAAATATTTGACAGACCATGAAAGTTAAATTTTATTTTACTCATTAGTGAATGTTGTATTTACGACTCGAAAAAAATATAAAAAAGTGCAACAAAATTTGGCAAAGAATATACCTTTAATATTGGAGTGATGATGGTATTCACTCCATTTCAAAGTAGAGGTTGATTAGTCAGCATTTGAGGGCCATGAGGCAGTTTACTTCCCATTGTGATAGAAAGAATTTCTGCATAAAAAATATGTAACTAATAAATCTTGCTTATTGATTAAACTATAAATTACCAATGTTCCATTGTTAGATATCTCATAAGTCGATGAGTACAAAAAATCTAAACGAAAAGTATGTTACTGAATTACCATGGCTCCACTCTATTCAGTCAAACCTTAGGGATGCCGGAGTTCATAATTTTCGATTTGGCATGTGATGCCATACCAGTCATCAACTAAATATTGGGGCTATTCTATAGTTCACTAGCTTAACCATGGCCTTCATATGGGAAGGAAAAAACTATGCTTTTAAATACATTAAGTACATAATTGAAAAAGGAACAACAATCATAAAGGAGTCCAAGTGTGTGTGAAAGCCTTAATTTACTACCTCCATTATCACCCTTGAAATTTAATTCCTTTTTATATAAGCTTAGCTCAAAATTGATATTTGTCTCCCTTTCGTTACACTTTATAGCAATGTCATCATAGGCCTTGGGTTATAAACCAAGTAGTAAACGACATAACATAAAAGGGAGGAAGAGAGTCAAGTTATGTTCATTAGACCTTGTACATTTCATCTCTTTGTCAATCAACGCAGAAACTCTCCTTTTATGAATTAGACATTTACTTACCTAGTGAAAGAGAATAAAAGTGAGCAAAAATTAGTTTTCTGATTTAGAAAAAAAGATTTGAAACTTAGGTGGTTCAACAATTAGCTATCTACATGCAGTGTATTCCTAAAAGATGCAATATATAAAGACTAAACTAATTGGAACTGAAAGATTACCAAGAGCATTATTTTTGTCTCAAATTCAAAAGAAATCAATATAGATAATCAAGAAAAAAGCATTCTTAACATTCCCATAAAAGGTCTCAATCCAAAAATACAGGAATAGATCAACCTCACAATGGCGTCTAGTTGTGGCACAATAATAGGTATTACCGTTACCTCGCTAATTTTATTTGACTACTGCCTCATATCCTAAAAAAATTGATAAATATTAAAGTTAAGTCACTATGAGCTTGTTGATACAGTTACCTTTGGAGAATTTGATAGTCACAGGTGAAAATTGGTCTTATAATGTTGTATGTATGTGAAATAAAAACTCATTTTCTCCGACAGCTAGACCTTAAAAATTACAACAATAGTGAAGTGCATAAATTTTATTCATACCCATAATAGGTTCCTTTATGGCCTTTGGCAAACTGAAAAGACTGAGCCACAAACCAAGTAAATAGTATGAGCATATATTTAGAACCCAAATAAAATAAATAGCAAACAATAAGGATAGAGTTAGTACTAGTTTGGCTTTGTTGAGAAGTGGACGGGCATAGGTACAATTGATTCCGCAAAATACAACAGAAGTAGCGGTCATTGGTACAAAAGTCTCAACAAAAATCTCTGTTTCACAAATATTTTGATCATCAGTAGTACAATTTGTGTATTTTTTTCATGTTCTCTGGCCTTGTCCAACGTTTATGATCTTTCACTGAATCTCCAACCTTAAAAAAATGCACAATTAATTTTTAACATTTACCAGACATATGTTTATGGAGAAAGTTAGAATTAAATTGATTCTCAATATTCTTGAAAACTATTGGGCTAACATGGATGTAGAAGCGATTAAGCTTGGAACTGGATTTCAAGAAATAATCAGTGCCCCATTTGATGGCAGATTGAAAAATTTTCAGATCACTAAGAATTGCATTACAAAATCAAACCTTTAACTTTGTAATGCAATTATTAGTAGCTTGTTACTTTTTCTATTGAAGAAATTATATAATGACGAAAGAAAAGAAAAGCAAGGAGTGAAAGGAAGAAAGAACTGGAAAATTTATTGCTTTTCTATATTCTAGTTAAATATTTGTTCATAATCTAGAGAAGCAAGGAGTGAAAGGAAGAAAAAACTAAAAAATTCATTGCTCTTTCTAAAAATTTTATGAGTGGTCTAGAATTACAAATCATAGAACTTACCTCCTATAAACCGGAATTGTTGAGTGGTATGCGAAGAAAGGAGAAAGAATCGGAGATATATACTGTGAAAGTGTGAAACTGATATGAAAAATCATGTTACTGGAACTCCGATGAAAAAGGATTAGTGAGTTAGGAGTTGAGATCATGGGGCGACATCGTGGGTTGTTTGAAGTAAACAAGCGCAGACTCCTTATGGTTTAGAATTTTAGATGGAAAGGCACGCATGAATGGATTCCTTGTTGGTAACTTCCGAAGTTTTATTCCTTGTTAGCAAATTATTAATTTTTAAAGAATATAAAAAAAATTGATACATTAATTTTTAAACCTCCACAATCGTAACTTCTTATTCCCAAGGAATGCTTGGCAACTTCCTCATATATTATTCCTTGCTGGTAAATTAAGTTTTTGAAAAAGTGAAAAAGAAAATAAGTAAATATTTTATTATTTTGAAATTCAAATTTAGAAAATAAACTAATTTGAACTAAATTAACTAATTATGTCCTAAAATTGTCACATGGCATTTTCTTCACACGACCCATGGCGAATTCTCATGGCTAACTTCTTTCTTTTTAATAATAGATAACTAATTATGTCCTAAAATTGTCACATGGTATTTTCTTCGCACGACACATGGCGAATTCTCATGACTGACTTCTTTCTTTTTAATAATAGATACGAAGAGTTGTGTGCAGCAAATGTTTCATGAATGAACTTGGACCAGTTTTCATACTTCGGTTCTGGTCTTAATAATCACGTAAATCAACATATATAAAATTAAATGCCGTTTAGACAATCAGTACTAAGACAAACTGCATAGTTGCGACAACCAAAATCGTGGAAGGCAACATAACATAGGTGATGCAGCTAACTTATGTGGCTTTGCGGTGAAATTCAACAAGGTGTTTTGGCCAAGTTATATTTTGAGAAACCATTCCTTAATAAAGAGCATGTTCTTATTCGTGAATTTCTAATGATCACTGGATTGGTGTTTAATGCCTCAAATTTAATGAGTCGTCAAATAAAATTTCTTAAAACCAAAAAAAAAAAAAAAAAAATATTTTCTAAAACATTTCTAGAAAACTAACCAAAGATTTTGAAATATTTCCACAAACAAACCCGTATTAGGCTTACTTTTTTGAACCCCAATCAAGCTTAATTGAGTCAAAAACGATGTCTAATTTCAAAACACCCCGAATTGACTGAGAGAAATGGATGCTACTATAGAATCAAAGAAGTCCCAAAAATTACAAGCGACCGCAAAAAAAAATCTGAAAATGGAACAAGTGGCAGGAGCTCGTGGTTTCACATTTCCGAAACAGCTAGCGGTGGCTGAGCCTCCATAAATGAATACAACTGTACGAGCCTTCCTTTTTGATAGCCCAAACTGTTGACAAGAACAAGGAAACACTCCAAAAACAACAGGAGCCAACTACTGGTGTGCTTACACCTCGAAAAGAATTTATCGATGTTTATACGAAATTACATTAATTTATCATAAATAAATGCGAAATGGCTTCCTGGCCACTTAAACTTGTATCGGTTTGTAAAGCCGATACAAATCGATACAAATAATTTATCATAAATAGACATGAACTTATATTTTTTCCATTTGAACACTTCAACTTGACGGAATGAATACTAATAAATATATTTGACAATTGACCAAGCCTATGTGGAAGTGGCACAGCTGACATGGCTAAATTGTGTGCAAATCACGCTGCCAAGGCGCGTGAATAGTTTTATTTTTATTAAAAAAAAATTAGAAATAGAATAAAATATAAATAAGAAAGGAAAAAAAAAGACCTTTCTCTCTCTCCTTCTCTTTTCCCCTCCCCTCCCACCTCTCTCATCTTTCCAAGCAACTCCCCCATCCTATAATTATTTTTTTATTTTCTATTCTACTTTCCCTCTCCTTCCCCGTTTCTTTTTCCCTTTCTCTTCCCCATTCACTAAATGGTTCCTGCACAAAGATGGTAAGCACAAATCTAAAAGTTGTCCAAATTGTTATGTGTTGATTTACTGGAAAAAGAAATGCGAGACCGGATATCCGATTCATCATCATCATCATCATCATCTAGTTCTTCTTGGCCGTCACTGAGCTCTTCCATATCGGACTGGAGCTGTTTTCGGGGAAATCTAGGGTTTGCAAGCGGGGCTTAGCGAATAAGCCGTCAATATAGGAGGGCAGGGTTTGGAATCAAAGTCGAGTAGTTCTCGCGAAGGACTATCCCTGTCCCATTCCCTTTTGTGAATCTCGTCGTCGGTTAAACACCAGAGAGAACTCAAATTGGAGGAGGGCGCCGTCGCCGTCGCCGTCGAAGTCAGAGAGCCGACGACCTTGTTCACCCGTACTCTGAAGTTGTCATCCATTGCTACCTTGTGAATAGTGTGTATATAACACAAGCTATATACACAGGTTGTCAAAGCAGAAAAGAGCAGTAGGCTATATTGTTGTTTTGACGAAGCTTTCATATAGGAGGAAGAAGATGATGGTGGTTGAAAATGGCTGAGGTTTGGAGTTGTTGGTGGACTATTGGCTGTATGGTGGAGAAAAAGGCAGAATAGCCTAGTAGACACTTGTACTTGTCCCACTTGGTCATGCCGGTCCCAGTACTCTATAGTTTGTCAATTAAACACTTATACTTGTTCAAATTCTATTTATTAAACCCTTTTCTGAAGAGGTCAATGGTGCGTGCAACACAATCATCTCCACGTTGGACTCCACGTCATTATTTAGTGCCGCATAAGAAATAATATGTTAAAAATTAAATAAAAAATCCCCAAACCCTATTTCCCTCATTTTACACAGATTGTTTCTCTTTCATCGTCTATTTCTCCTTCTACGCTTCATCTTTGTTTCTCCTTCTACTCTCCATCTCTCCTTCATCTTCATGCGTTTTTACTAAGCTTCGTAAGATTTTGAATGTAATTGTTTATAATAAGATGAAGAGAGTGAGATACATGATTGGTAGCAGCCAAGGCCCATTAGTACCTTTGCAATCACTACTCTATCAGGAGCTAATGACTGGCAGACTGATTGGGTTCCATTCTGGATTGTGGTCACCAAGTTATATCATAATATTATGGTATTTTTGGGGAAGATAGAGGAATCTTGAATGCTTTTTCAGATAAAAAATTAAGGGTTTTTGTTTGTTTCTTATGGAGTGCCTTAAAGGTGTAATTTTATCGGGGGAGATTCCAAACAAGGACGAAAGAGTTGGAAAAAATTAAGGGAAAGAAAAGGTGATTTTGTTAATGCCGAAAGAGAGCTCCAGGTAGGTTCAACAATGGAGAATCGAGAAGAAGACCAATAAATAAGGGGAAATATTATTGTTAGGGCTTTCTAATAGGTCTCACGCCCCTAAAAGGCGTGTGAGTCACGCACTGAAGCCAAGTCAGCCATATAGTCTTAGTCAACGGTCATAAGGGTTTAATATATAGAATTTGAACAAGTATAAGTGTTCAATTGACAAGCAATAGAGTACAGGGACCGGCATGACCAAGTGGGACAAGTATAAGTGTCTTCTAGGCTATTCTGCCGGAGAAAAAAGAGAAATAAAAAGAAATTAAAAATTTTAAAGACTAATTTTTTTTCCTAATAATATAGAACCCACAAATCCACATGTCACAATAAAAACCAAACATGTGACATGGCATTCATGTCAGAGCGATTGGCGAACACGTTCAACAGAAAGTGTTTATTAGTATTCATTCCGTCAAATTGAAGTGTTCAAATGGGGAAAATATAAGTTCATGTATCGGCTTTACAAATCGATACAAGTTTAAGTGGCCAGGATGCCATTTCGCCCATAAATAAATAATAATAAAAGCACGAATATACTAATTAATTGTGATTAAGTGATGATGTATGTATAAAAAGACACATGTTATGTCTTCTAAATTAGTTTAAATATCCAGTGTAACTAAAATCTTTCGTATCACCCTCCCCCACGCAAAACCAAAGTTGTAGGTTCATCACTTTTCTCCTGAGCCAACTGTTTTTGTTTGCCCCATGTTACACAAAAATTAAGTCAAAATGGTTGCTTCATTTTTTAAGATTAAGAAAAGAAATTCTGTGGGCCGCCAATGTGTTTTTAATATTAAACAACTTTTGGTTCCGCTTATAAAATGGGGAATTCCGTGCCCAGACTTCATTGTCTTAAAACAAAGGCAAAACTTGAAACGTTTCACTGAAAACTTAGAAATAGTCTCAAATGGCTTCTCTGGTTCTCCTATTATCTGAGCTTCTTAGACATGAAAATACAGATTATTTAACCTCATCCTCAGCTTCTTCTTCTTCGGTTGCTAATTCTTGTGCTGCTGTGGCTGCCAAAGGAGCTCAACCATTTTCCAACAAAAGGGTATTCAGCAACTCTTCAAATAGTTTCAACAGTGATTTCAATGTTGTGGCTGAGGAATTTGAAGAACTTCCCAGGATTTGTGTTGATTTAGTTTGGCCTTAAAGCATTAATTATCTTGTAATTCACTATTTTGCATCACTGATTAATTATGTCATCACGACTCCTTTTTGGTGGAAATGAACCAAATTTCTATATATGCTTCTTTTGTTTTTCTTTACTGTTTTTCACATTCCATTTATTTTACTTACGTATTAGATGTAGTTTTTCTTTCTTCATTTCTTTGTAAGTAAAATTCACAAATGGATATATAATTGTCACGACCAGGATTCCCCACCCTCGGGGTTGTGATGGCGCCTACTCGTGGAAGCTAGGCAAGCCGAGAACCTTAGCAAAC